CTAGCAGAGAACGGGGGTGTGTTAAGATATTTCAGAAACGAGAGACAGCGCCATCTTGGAAAGGCAACATCTGGCCCCCTTAAGTTCAATTACCAGTGAACATGGTAAGTAGTAAGTAATGGTAATGTGAACATTTCTTTTTCACTCTTACTGACTTGTGCACAAAGCAGAGTTGCACAGATGGCCGATTGCTGTTATAAAAATCCTTCTATCATATCACAGGAACTGTCCCATCTTATAATTATGTCCATCATTAATCTGTGAACTGGTCACTGAAGGAAGTGCTGTTTCTGTTTCAACTGATTGCTGGCTGTGGTGTTGCGCCTGAAAAAAGCTGTTGCACATTGGATCCTCCCAAGACGTCGCACCATAGATTGTATTGTCCTTGCTTTCTATGAGGCGAGATTCAGACTGGGTGCAAAACACTGTACGTGCGTCATGCCTGCAAGTCTAGCCGCAACAGCCATACTTGGTGCATTATTGGTAACAACAACAAGGTATTTTGCATTCAATCCCCATTCAGCCACAGCATCAGTTAGTAACGCTGCAATTTGCACACCCGTGTGACTGTGATGCATGGCTCGGGTTTGTAGTCCATGGGACTGAAGGTTCCACTGGTCAGTTATGTGATGTGCTGTAAAGGTTACGTATAATTCAGTGGCTCTCGAAGTCCAAGCGTCGGATGTCAAAGCAATTGTCTCTGCTGAGCTGAGAAAGTCCAGCACTGTCACTTTGACTTCTTCATACAACTTTGGCACAGCAATATAATCATATTACGAAATCCTTTATTTCAGAGGGTGCACGTCTTTGCAAATAAAAACAAGTACTGACTGTATTATTTTTGTTGCACAGGTTAAAGTTATTGTTAGTGTCATGGTCTGGGTGAGTGCCTGGAAATTGAGGCTCCTTGGATCTGCCCATGGGCAGGGCCACCACAGCTTCATTCACCTGGAGCTAACTGAGTCAATCAGGCTTAAGCTCTATGCTGACGTTTCTTCTCTGCCAGTTCGTCAACTGCCTGATGTTGGTAACCGGTTCCCATGTTTCATGCTTACGCTCTCAAAAATGTTATGCTTATGTTGTTTGTCTTGAGCTGCAGGACACTCCACGGTGCAGAACTAACACTCACCTCTTTGATTCTGTCAGGGCTCAGAGGCCCGTGGCGTGGAATGGACTCAGGTGCAGAACCAAAGACCGGAAGCTTGAAGTGATTTGCGAAAACAAAAACTTTTATTTACAAGTGTTCCTAACATAAATATTCAAGACAAAAAACAAGATTAAGCTTTGTGCAAAAGCGTGGCGTCTGTGAGGTGCGGACCTAGGGCGAGCATGGAACAGTCAGGTCACTAAACTGCTGAGACTGGAGTGGGGCTGGTGGAAACTGTGTCAGACCAGGGCACTGAAACGTAGGAGAGGAAAATCAGAACAGTCCAAGGAGTTGTGAGTGTTTCCCCCTTTGACAAGCTGGGATGGCTTACGTGTTTGCAGGCGGGGATTAGCTGGAGGTGGAGGCGAGGCGAGGTCCAGGCGGGTGTTGAGTCCAATATAGGTGCGCAGGGAGGCAGGCAGGTGAGAATGGCAGTTTGTCTGAAAAGGATTAAGCAGCAGCTGACCGGAATCCAGAAGCAAGGCTATGGCAGGGTTTGGAATGACGAGTCCAGGTACCGATGAGGTTAGCAGACGATCTGGCGAAGACTCATTGTGTGCGCTGCTCCTAAATACTGCCAGAATAATTGCCTGAAGCTGAGGAACGGGGAGGGGCAGGAAGGGCTCCACCCAGAGGAGGAGAGCTGATGCTGTGGAAAGTTACTCAGGCTCGCCCAGACCATGACAGATTCTGGCTTCACACTGGCTCTCTGGAAATCTCTCTGTGCTTCAACTGCCTGCCCTCTC